AGTGGGCTGTGAGCTGCATCTACAGTGAGAGTAAACGCCCGTCAGCCTGCAGAGCTTCACGTTTCAATGAATCTGCAGCTCAATATGACGACAACTTCCAGGAACCGACACCTGAGCAGGAGGGTGGGAAGAGACGACATTTCCCAGCATGCCCTGCTCTCCTTTTTACTGGTCAAATTATTTGGATTTTTCTACAACTGCAAGAATTGAAAATGCAGGAAAAACAAAACTAATCAACTGAGCTTCAGGTCCTGAAGCTTCAGAAATGAAGAACCAGAAAACACTGGTTCCTGTGATGAAACAGAACCAGAACAGAACAAAGCCTCCACAAACAAACAGCATCTCGTTCGTCCCTATTGTTCTTACTTCCACTGAACGAACCAACTATTCTTTAATCTTCACTGTAAAACAAAACAGGATCCAGCATCGATCCCTGAGGAACCTCGTCTGAGCTGATCCAACCTTCAGCATTACTCTGATGCTGGTCTGGTGGGCGTCGCTCTGTGAGGAGATCCAGAAACATGGAGTCAGTCTGACCGAATCATTGGAGGTTCTGTCATCTACTGAGCGTGTGCAGAACAGTCAGGTGACTTCCTTTCTGCAGGTTCTGTTGTCATGTTTTGTTGCTCATCAGGTTCTCTGTAGAACGTTTTACTGTCTCCAACTCGCCCATATTTGTTTTTGTATTATTTTGCTTCTGTTTTGGTCGTTTTCTGCACCGGGTGCTCAGTAAACGCTCCCTCAGGGCGCTGTGCAGCAGAACAAGTGAAGGCGGTGAGGCAAAGTGGATGCAGCTCAGATTGAACCTCTGACAAACACGAATCGGTTGAAAGCTGTAGACGGCCCTGAGCAGCTGGAGCAGCTGGAGCTGAGGCCATGTGACCTGGTCCTACCTGTTGCGTCCTGCCGGAGCTTTCGACTGCCTCCTTGGTCTTCTCCGATGGCGGCGGCTCGGTGGACCTGCTGCTCCGTGGACTCTCTGCCCACACACTCGGCTGGCAGGCGGCTCAAACAAGGCGCAGGATCATTTTTCCACAGATTACAGTGACGAAGGCAGACAGGACGCGACATGCCTGATCTGATCCGTGTGTCTGACATACCAGAGCGCACACACAGCTTTTATTCAGCCTGTTTGCTGCAGAAACACAAGAATGAGGCGAGTGTGTGTCGGAAAGGAAGGCAACAGGTGGCCGATTTAATGCTGCAGCTTCACACACATTTCAGTGTCAGAGCTCATTTCACACCGTTTTCTGCTCCGTTGGCTGCTTGCTTCCTGCTTGTTTAGTGTCATTTGTATATTTGTTTGGTCCTTTAGCAGCATTTCTTTTTAAATTTTGCATCTTTTTGTGGTTATTGGTTGCCCCGTCTGTTGAAGGGGTGGCTGGGTGGTAACCATGGTCTGTGGCTCTGTGTCCACTGATGGTTGGCAGTTCGATCCCGCCGTGTGGCGAGCAGCGCCTCGCGTGGCAGCTCTGTCGCCACTGGTGTATGAATGTGTGTGAATGGGTGAATGAGAAACACACTGTAAAGAAGCGCTTTGAGTAGCACTACGGCAGAAGGAGATGTAGAAGTGCAGACCATTTAGCATTGACCATGGTAACCACAGACCCTCCTCTGGTCACGACGACGCTCCTCCACATGAAGGCTGATCATCACCAAACCTGGTCTGCTGATGTTGAACTTTTTGATCGCGCTTTGAAAGCTGTTTGTGCTGAAAAATAAGAATGTAACAGATATTTTCCGGCTTGTTTTTAATGAGTCTACAGACTCCCTGATATTCATGTGAAGCTGCAGCTGGAGGACGAGTCGCAGCGTCGCAGCAGAACTCGTGTGTGCAGGTTTGTATTGACTGTGAAGATCCTCAGACAAAACAACATCACTGTGCCGTCAGTCAGCCTGACTCTGGTTGCCTCGGTAACCACGGTGTATGTTTTCAAATGAAACCGACGAGCTTCTGCTTCAAATACAACATGGTGCTGCAACACAACCACAAAGAGACGTGAGGCAGCCACAGGGTTTTGGTTGCAGCTCTGACTGAGGTTCTCAGCAGCTCAAACAGAAACACTCCAGTTTCTGAACCACAAACGCAGAAAAGTCGAGTCTGTGAGAAGCATCCTCACCCCGCAGCAGAACGCAACACGAACACAGTGTTCTCCAGAACATCTACACCAGGAGGAACTTCTCTCAGAACAAACAGGATCACAGAGGAACAATCACCACAACAGAATGTTTGAGAAAGTTCTACACTCTGATCAGAGAACGTGGACGAGAACATGGAGGAGAACACAGAGAAGAGCTTCTACACTTTAGCATCACAATCTCTACCTCATTATTTATAAAGCTGTGACTTTCTCTACTGTTTTTCAGAATGTTCTGTTTTACAGTCAGAGAAGAGTCCAAACTGTACGAGCAGGTGGTGAGTAAAACCTCCTCAGTCATGTTACTGATGGTTCTCAGTCCTGTCTGTCGGACAGCTAAACTCCAAGAGGAGAACGGACCTCCCCCTGCAGGTAGCAGCTGCTGCCGTGGCAACAGAGGAGGAGGCTGGTTGCCGTGGACTCAGGCAGGATTTGTGATGTTGCTTCGATCAGGATGAAACTCTGTGTTTCATCACCATGAAGCTGAGGCCAGAACAACACAAACAGAACATAGAACTTCTGGTTCCAGCGGAACAGTTGGTTCCACCTGAGAACCAATCAGCAGTTTCTGTTTCGGAAACTACAGCCATTAACAGAAGGTCAGAGTCATCATCATCCATCCATCATCTCTACACCTTAATCCTCACCAGGGTCATGGGGGGCGGAGCCTATCCCAGCTGACTCAGGGTGAAGGCAGGTTCACCTGGACAGGTAACCAGTCTATCACAGGGCTACACTTAGAGACAGACAACCAAGCACACTCACATTCACACCTACGGACAATTTACAATCACCAATTAACCTCAGCATGTTTCTGGACTGTGGGAGGAAGCCGGAGAACCCGGAGAGAACCCACGCTGCACGGGGAGAACATGGAGACTCCACGCAGGAAGATCCCGGGTGTCCTCACCGGGACGCCAACCGGCGACCTTCTAGCTGTGAGGAGCTAACGGTGCTAACCACTGATCCACCTGCAGTCCAGTCATCATGATGTCCAAGGAACATGTGGAACAGATTGTAGAACACACATTCAGCCTCTGTGACTTCAGACCAGAACTCTGAAAAACAAAGGAGCTGACTGGAACCAAAAACACGTCCTCAGTGCTGCCACAGAAGAACCATTTTAGTACCACAAAGATCATCTAGGATCTCTGATTGATTGTTTTAAACACATGCTCTCTGGTTGGAGGTCCTGAACCTCCTCAGAGTCCGTCACGGTCCCGTTACTGCTAAACTCCCACAATGCTCTCTGCTGCCACCATGAACTGGGTTTGATGAATGATGTTCTGTCTGATCTCAGCTCAGAGGTTTTGTTCTGTCCAGCACCAGAACACTAAGAGAACGTCTTCAGGAGGAGAGTTTCACATCAGCACCAGTTCTGCTGCATCAGATGTGATGAATCTTTGGAACGAGTTCATCAGCTTTACTTTGATCAGTAGAACAGAAGCTTCTCAGTCGTCTTTATGCCTTTCAGCTGGTTCTGTTCTATTCCATCAAACTTCTTATCGTCCAGACGACAGAACCTCAACAGTTTCTGTCAGAGAACCTGAAGAACATTTCCTCCTGAAGCAGCTGAGCTTCATCTTCTGTCTCCAAACAAGAATCTTCTTCCTGTGTTTGTGCAGCAGCTGTTGTTCTCCATCACGCGTCGTGCTGCTGTGGTTCTGTGGTTCTGTGGTTCTGTGGTTCTGTGCTGGATGTTCTGCTGAATACATTGTTTGACTTCAGTTTACTTTTTAATTTTTTTTGTTTTTAAATTTGTTGATTTTGAGGTTTTATGCATTTTTTTGTTTTTTAAAAGTTTTTTTATTTTGCGTATTTCTATTATTGTACTTTTTTTGTTTTACATTTTTAATTCTTATTTTTTGTTTTTGTTTATTTTAATGAATTCACCTTTTTGTTTTGTTATATTTTACTACATTTTTAAATTTAGTCTATTTTTATGTTTTTACAGTTTATTTGTTTATATTTTGTTGTTGTTTATGTGCTTTTTGTTTTGGGCTGAAGTTCTGCGGTTCTTGATGCTTTGCTTTCTGGTCTCATGTTCCGGCTGCTCTGACACTCAGCTGATGATTTATAACACGAACAAACGTCTGCTTAAAATAACTGAAGCAGAACCGGACCGTCTGTCTCACAAACACAGAACACAAAGTCTCATTCAGTGTTTTCTGCTCAGAACACAAACACAGAACAGTTCTTACCTTCTCTGCCTCGGAGCTCCTGAGTGTTCGGTCCCTTCATCACTCGGCTGTTTTTACTCTGGCAGAACCTCCCTCCCCTGAGGGGGCGGAGCCGACCCGACCTGGCGGTTCAGCTGCAGGTGTTGATGAGTGTTGATTGGATCATGAAGCTGCTTTAACACTTTAGATTAACTGACAGCAGCTGATGCAGCTTCTACAGCAGAACCTTTGTTTAGTCTGACACAGTTCTGCATGTTCCAGCTCTAAAGTGTGGCACCAGACCACAGAACCGATCGGACCTGAGTCCTACACAGGACGAGTCAAAGCAACGAGTCTGAGTTGGAACATTCCAAAAACACAATTTCAGCCCAAAAACCCACCGGACAGAGCCGGTACCAGGATGAGTCCAAACGCAACAAGACTGAGAGCAGAACTGTGACAGTGGAACCTTCAGAACGTCAGAGTAGCTGAAGGTGGAGTTTAATCTGTGGCTGTAATGAACCTGTAGGGGGCGCTGTCTGTCTGTGTTCGGGGTTCATTGGTTCTAATGTTCTGAACTCCTGCGGTTCTGTTAGTTCTGATGGAGGCAGGTTAAATGTTCTCTGTTCTTCAGCTCCCAGCAGGCCGAGCGGCAGCGGATCAGATCTGACTTCAGATCCGTTGTCGTCCTGCAGGTTCAGACTCGTCCTCACCTGGAACAAGGTGCTGCTTTCAAACGTTCCCAAAGAGCTCGGAGAACCTCGATCAGTTCTGCACAGAAACACGGAGACACAAACATGACGGCAGCAGGACATGCCCGTTAACATCCACAGAACCAGAACCCGACCAGCACCTTTGAGGTGTCTGTGAACTGTTGAGTTCTAGAAGATTCTCTGATCCAGTTTGGGGAGAAGGACTCTGAAACGGTCCTCCAAAATGTGCAGCTACCTGAAAGAGTTCCAAAATCACCTGAAGAGCATCTTGAAACCCAGAAGAACCACTAAACTCATCTTTAATTAACAGAACCTCCATGATGATCATTACAGTTACTACTGCAACCTTCAGAACCGCACCAGAACCTCCTTATGGGCGGGTGTTGAGGGGCTGATGAGGGTCTAACCTGCTGAATGAAATGCAGAAGAACAGCTGCTGTCAGAACCATCAGAACCACCTGCTGTGTTGATGCAGCAACTGATCCTGTTTGTCCTCTGAGCTGCTTCGTTCCTTCAGTCCATCGCTGACGTTTACTGGTTTTACGTCTGCTTTGTTCTGGTTTGTTCTGGGTTTGTTTTGGTTTGGTTTTAGTTTTGTTCTGGCTGATAGAATCTGACAGAACCTAATGACAGAGTTTATCTGTTTGGGTCTTACACAGCAGACAGACACCAGCAGCTGCTGGGTTCCTCCCATTGCTCCCATTGCTGCCATTGCTGCCATTCCACAGCGGGGGGTCGGTCTGCATTGTTCGGAGCAGCTGGACATTGTCTTCGTCTTTCCGCCTGCAGGAACACGAGAACCTGTAGCCGCCTGCAGAAACGCCATCATGTGACCCGACCAGTGTACTGACTGGTTTCTGCAACAGTTTCCACCTGCTGACAACAGCAAAAATAATAATTAAAAAAAAACAGAATACATAAAATAGAGGACTAAAGTAAGAAAAGAAATGTCAGTTATGAATTTTAGATAAAAAAATAATCCATAAAAGTTAAGTAAATAATTAGAAAATAACATCAAAGCAGAAAACAACAAGCAGCTGACTGACAGCTGAGCTTCAGCTGATGCTGTGGTTGCCTAGCAACAGCATCACATCCCACAGCTGGTTTTCAGTTCATCAGGACTGAACGTTTCTGCTCAGACATCTCGTTAACAGCTCGTTAGTGTCTCCTCCTATGAGGAGGAATTTATTCACAGGTGGGTTCACCTGGACAGCTGATTCACGTATTTACCGTCACTCAGAACTTTTAACATCATCAGATCAAAGTTTGCCAACATTTAGCAGATGTTGTCTTAATTTAAACAAATACAGACGACTCACACGAAGCCGTAAATACGTTTATCACAGCTTCAGACCAGAACCAGGACCAGGTTCAGGTTCTACACAAGGTTCCAGTATGTACAGAACTCAGAGGCCTTCAGGTAAGAACCTGACAGGGATTTAAAATTAAATCACAGATGGAACTGAAGCAGGTTTCAAACAGACTCAAACAAGAATTCTGTAAAATACAGGAAATATTGTTGTTGTATAGAATATATGTTATATTGATTTTTTTTTTTTTTTTTAAAGAGCTTTTACAAGATTGAATTTCCCTTCTGGGATAAATAAAGTATTTTTCATTTAATTTCATTTAATTTCATTTCAAATGACTTTTTATTTTATCAAGTCAGCTGTAACAGAGTATAGACAAAAATCCATCATTTTATAATGATTGTAAGGTTTCTAAAGCAGTTTAGAAAGTTCCATCCATCATCTCTACACCTTAACCCTCACTAGGGTCATGGGGGGCGGAGCCTATCCCAGCTGACTCAGGGTGAAGGCAGGTTCACCTGGACAGGTAACCAGTCTATCACAGGGCTACACTTAGAGACAGACAACCAAGCACACTCACATTCACACCTACGGACAATTTACAATCACCAATTAACCTCAGCATGTTTCTGGACTGTGGGAGGAAGCCGGAGAACCCGGAGAGAACCCACGCTGCACGGGGAGAACATGGAGACTCCACGCAGGAAGATCCCGGGTGTCCTCACCGGGACGCCAACCGGCGACCTTCTAGCTGTGAGGTGATGATGCTAACCACTGAGACACCTGCAGCCCAGTTTAGAAAGCTGATTTAGTAAAACTAAATACTACACATGAAGCTACTGTACTCAGAGTCAAACAGATTTATCAGACAGTCAAGTAAAAGTTATTTAAATCACTTTTCTTTATTTTTCTTACAGAACTCTGTACATTAACAGAGGAATATTGTAGATTATGTTGGAGAAGATTCTCTTTTCTCCGCGTGTTCGTTTGTAAAGACGAAACTAATTCAGCGCGGTCTCAATTAATCAATTTAATCACACACTGAATATTGCATGACAGAGCTCCGGGTCAAACTCTCCCGAGCATCAGACAGAGTGAGACTCAGACCTTTGTCTTATACGATTCAGTCACATGACAGGTTGCACAATATGTCACACAAGCTGTTTCACATCTTCCTCTGATCTGTCCATTTGTTTGTTTGTTCCTTTATTCCTTTGATCGTTTGTTTCTTCGTTGGAATCTACGCCCCTTGATCTTTACAGCCTGTCTTCCCCGCATCCACAGTTCATCCTGGTTATCGATTATCAGCTTATTGGTAGTCACACACTCATCTGCTTCCTCCCAAAGACGGGACTCCTGTCCTGCAGAACAACATCACTTAGAAGCACACAAATCTTTAAGAATCAACATTATAATGGTAGCATATCGTGAATAAACCCTCAAGATTAATTATTCTTATTCTTTAAACTTAAATGATTATATATGTTTTGAGTAATATATCATTTACACAACAATTAATTCACTAATTCTAAAACTGATTTAAAAGATAGAAGCATTCAGTTTATGGAGTGTAAATGTATTTATGCTGTATTTCAGTGATTTCAATATATTTAATTATTGAGATGTTTTATTATTGTCACACCTGTGTTTGTGGATATTTCATTTATTTTCTGTCTTTTTTGAGATATTTTAGTGATTTTTTTTAACCGTTTTCTTTATATTTTAACAGCTTGTTACGATTTTAAAATCTTTTCTACATTAAAATTTGTGAGACATTTTGTCCATTTTCAAGAACGTTATTAATGTGTTCTGTATTAATATTCATTTCTTTTGGACTTTGTTTTCCTGTCGTGCAGCTGTGTGTCTCACAATAACAGAAACTGGAAAAAATGGTCATTTTACAGCTCTGGCAGAAATAAGAACGTCTTTGGTTTAAATAATTCACTCATGAGAAGTTGAAAATACAGTAAAATGATCAGATGCAGGTTTTCCAGGTGAGATGAAAGAAGTACAGATACTGAATGATTTCAGTAAATGTCGATAAAAATCGATTAGATGCAAAATAAATAAATAAAATAAAATTCGAATTTTACTTCAATGTCTAAAACGCGGTCACATGACTCGGACGTCGTTATTTTGCCGCGCAACCGCAGATAAAACTCTGTGACGTCATCACGCAGGACGTGAGCGGGGGGTGAAGGGGGGCCGGGATTCCTGAGGATTACCCGTCATGCCCCGCGGGTAAAGATGGCGACAGCTGAGCAGGGCAGCAGATCAACTTTCTCTGCGCGGCTCTGAGCGGATTCTCTGCCGACGGACGGAGCGTCTCAGCCGGCTGCTTCTGCCGCCGCCACCCGCTGCCTGCGCTGCTCCAGCCGGACCTCCAGCCTGCGCCGCCGGACCTCGGCGCTACTCCCGGCCTCGGCTCGGTTTGGAGCCCCTCTCCGCTCTCCCTCCCTCCCGCCCTCCCTCCCTCCCTCGCCCCGCCGGAGGAGCAGACCGGAGCTCCGGATAAAGTTTCGTCTCCTCCCCGCTCTCCGGGACTTGTTCGAGGAGGCAGCCCGGGCCGCGCCGCGCTCACCGGCTCTCAGGTAAGCTGGCAGCGGGCTGGGTGTGTTCCCAGGGAGCGTGTGTGGCCGACGGCTCCGAGGAGTCGCGGTGTTCGGTGCTGGGGCTCCGTGTGACAGGCGGTGGACTGGGCCACAGTCCCCGGCGGCGGCTCCCCGGCGCTTTGAGCTGATCTAAAGAGCTAGTGGAGGGTGGTGTCGGGGCGGGGTTTGGGCCCGGTTCGGCCTTGTGTTCGGCAGAGATAACCCCGCTGTGTTTGTCGTGTTTGTGCCCGTCAACCTGCCAGGCAGAACGGAGGGCAGCAGCCCGGATCCTGACAGGCAGATCCGCGGGAGAAACGCCTCACGATCCAACAGCCAATCAGCGGGCTGGAGGCAGAGCGACCACCTGCACAGGTGGATCTGCAGGTTTAATACTGATGTCAAAATGTACACCTGTCAAGCAATCGATCAGAGCTTATTGATCCGGCACTTTTCAGAGTGGTTGAAAGTGATTAGAAGTGAAATCCTGAAATCAGTCAGTGGAGAATAAAACTATAGAAGAAAGGAGGATTAGTGCTCAGATACAGGAAACAGGGTTACACGGACGAAGGTTCAGCGCTGAAATCACTCATCGATGGTAGAAAAAATACACTTTGGGGAAAATATTTGCAGATTTCAGTATGTTTTTGTCTTCTATGCATGAGCTTGTTGGTTTGTTTCTACCAGAGCAGTAATTAAAGTAAATGTTAATGGCAGTTGATAAAATACAAATGAAAATTATAAAATCAATTGAAATTTCTTTTTTTTTCTTTTGAGCGTTGAATGTTTCTGTAAATGTTCCATCGCTGTTGGACACCATCAGTGTCACAGCTTTACTGTCTCTATAGAAGTATGTCATGATCATGTCAGCGGTCTTTTGTTTTTATTCTTTATTTTTACTAATGCATTTTACTGAACTCTTGGTTTTTGATCAGGTGCTGCGTTTATGTGTCGTAATGTTTTTCTGAGTGATTTCTGGCACCAGAATTTCCTTCAGGATCAATAAAATTCTGTCTCACAGTGAAGCTGGTTCTGGTTTTCTGCAGCTGTAATGTGAACAAACAGCAGTGTGTCGTCGGCAAACGAGTTAACTCGATTCTTATAAACCGTTTGGAGGTAGCAGCTTTGTTTCTTTTTAATTCAGGTTTTAATTTGGTTTCCAGACGTCTTTATGTCTGTTAGAAAGACGAGCTCACGTTTGCTGTTTGTTTGGCCTCTGAGTGAAATATAAAGTGATCAAACTGTCGTCTTTTTATCAGTCTGATCCTAAACTGAATGAATGAATATTAATGTTTAAACACACCACTGTGTCACTTCAGCACTTCCCAATCATTGTTTATGTGAGGCGCCCTGCATTGCATCCTGGGAGCGTCGGTTTTCCCGCTCTTCATTTGCATAAAGTTGAGGTGTCTGACGCTTTATGCGAATGAGGAGCCTTGAGCAACATCTGACAAAATGTTGCTGAATTTTTAAAGTGACTTCAATAGAAAGCAGATTGTTTTCACTGAACTATTTCTGAAATAATGAAGACTCTGAGCTGTCGTGTTGGTTCGGTGTGAAATCCAGGAGCCTGAAGCGTCGTCCAATCAGATGCAGCCAGTGTTGGCGTGACTGTCGGGGGGTGGAGCCTGTGTAGACTCCTGTTGATGAGCAGCTGTCAATCATTGGTTGTGCTGTTTTTGTCGACCATCTTGTGTCCGCCTGCTGTGGATGCGAACCACAACCTGCATCTGATTCGCTTCACAAATACATATTTATCATCACATCTTACTGCTTCACTGTGGCTGCTTTCAATCATCCAGGTGGGCGGGACTTGTCACGTGGTAACTCAGAAAATGGAGAATAGTGAAAACAGTTGTATTTTAACACAAAAGGCATATTTTTCTGAACCCTGAAAACTAACTAAGGTGCAGAACCTGAACCGATTCCTAACAAGTGTCGACCAACGTGTGATAATTCTCTAACCTGAACCAGGAAGAGCGAAAACTGAAAGCAGATGACAGAAAATAAAACGTAAAGCTGAGTCTAATTGCATTTCCCTTAAAATGTAGTTCAGTTTTACAGGAACATTGTTGTGTGGTTTGTTAAGTGAGTTAAGACCAGAGATGTTCTGATCCGATCTCAAAGACCAGAAGACATTGTTCACTGATCGGTATCGAGCCTCAGACCGAACCTTTGTTTGGGAAAAGAGATGAACCTTTACTGCAGCTTCACTCAAATCCTGATTCTTCTTTAATCCACCTGAAGCCTGCAGTGTGACACGAGTGTCTCCCCCTGCTGGAAATCGGAGGAATCACACAAACACTCTCACACTGAAACCTGAAGTTTTTATCTGCAGCATCAACTATTGATTATTTTCTTCCTCAATTGATCAGCTGTTTGGTCTTCAACGTCAGAAAATTATATCTTTAGAAAATCTCCCAAAGTACATCTTGATCTTCAGATTTTCAACTTTCTGATGGCCTTTAAACTAATCTTGTTTGAAAGAGTAACAAAATGTGACTTTAAAGTTGTGATACTGCATTAAAATCACTTCATATTACACAAAAAAAACATTTGCTCTCATCAGATCCTGTAAAACCAGAACCTTGCTTCCAGCTGAACTGCAGCCAGAG